CCGCGCGGCGATAAAGGCACAAGTGTTGGCTGAGTTTGTGGCTGAGGGGGTGGTAAGTGTGGAAGACGGGGCGTAGGAGGCCTGGCAGGTCTATGTGGACGGCGCGGCGAGCAAGTCGGGCGCTGGAGCTGGGGTGGTGGTGGTGAGCCCATTGGGGGCGACGCATGAGTTGGCCCTTCGTTTTGCAACCCTGAAGACCAATAACGCGGCGGAATACGAGACGGTGATTGTGGGGCTCCACACGGCTCGGGAGCTCGGCGCCCAAAAGGTTCAACTCCGCTCGGACTCTGCGTTGGTGGTCAATCAACTGAATGGCGTGTACGAGGTTAAGGAGGAGGCTCTGAATACCTACATTGCTATGGTAAAGGCAAAGGGGGCGTGGTTTAAGGAGGTGGAATTCATACATGTACCAAGGGAGGAGAACGCCCACGCGGAAGAAAGTGAGAGTTGGATGTCACCCATCAGAGCATACTTGGTGCAGGGGGTCCTTCCGAAAAACGATAGGGACGCGTGGCAGGTGCGGCGCAAGGCCGCGCGTTGCACGCTCATTGATGGCCAGATGTACAAGCGGTCGCACTCCGGTGTCTACCTAAGGTGCCTCACTGAGATAGAAGGGAAGCAGGCAATTGAAGAAGTCCATCAAGGGGCGTGTGGTATGCACGCGGGAGCGCGCAGCCTCGAGAAGGTACTGTTGAGGCAGGGGTATTACTGGCCAACCATCAGGGCGGATGCAACAAAACACGTGGCCAGCTGCCACCAATGCCAGATACATGCTAATGACATTCACGTCCCTACTACGCCTATGCGTGGAAATGTGGGCGCATGGCCATTCTCTCAATGGGGCATGGACTTGCTAGGACCATTCCCCAAAGCGTCCGGGCAGATGAAATACCTGATAGTGGCAGTGGACTACTTCTCCAAATGGATCGAAGCTGAGCCTCTGGCGTCCATTACTCAGGCGCAGGTTCGTAAGTTCACAAACATGAACATCTTCACGCGATTTGGGTTGCCAGAGGCCATAGTGACCGATCATGGGAACGATCATGGGAAGCAATTTGATTGCAAGTAGTTTGTGGATTTCTGTGACGAGAAGGGGGTGATACTGCGCTTCTCGTCCGTGGCTTATCTTCAGGCGAACGGGCAGGTGGAGGCTGCTAACAAAAGCATTCTACATGGGCTGCATACGAGGCTTCTGGAAGCAAAAGGAAGATGGGTTGAGGAGCTCCCGAGTGTGCTATGGGCACACAGGACGACATACAAGGTGACAACAGGCGAATCTCCGTTTGCACTTACGTATGGGAGCGAGGCAGTTATCCCGGTGGAGTTGCGCATTCCAACCTTCAGGATAGCAAGCTACGATGCGCAGGCCAACGAGGGAGAGCGCGTGCACGACCTTGATATGCTCGAAGAGCGGCGTGACGTCGCTTCCCTCCGCCTAGAAGCTATGAAGCAGCAAGTGGCAAGGTATTATAACAGGAAGATGCACCCTCACCAAATACAGCGAGAGAGCATGGTGTTGAAGAGGGATTTCAGACCCAAAGCCAGTGAGGAGAAGCTAGCGCCAAAGTGGAAGGGGCCTTATCGGGTCCGCGAGGTGGTGGGGCCGGCGACGTTCAAGCTGGAGCGCATGAGTGGAAAGAGCATCAAACGTACGTGGAATGCACAGAACCTTTATGTCTATCACAGCAAGGGAGATGAAGAGTTAGTGGGGTGAGGCCGAATAGTAAGGCGGGGCAGAAGGGGGCAATCTTTTGTGTAGGAGGCAGCCAGGAGGGTTGGGCGTGTAAAGCGCCCTGATCCAATGGCGCCCTGTAGTTTATCTAAGTAATTCCAAAAGCGCCCTTCCAATTGCGCCCTAAGTTGTGAGTAGTTTCTGTCGTAAAATCCAAAGCGCCTTCAAAATCGCGCCCTGTGTTTGTTAATGGTATCTGCAAAAGCGCCTTTCAATTTGCGCCCTATGGTTTTAGTTCAAGTAATTCCAAAAGTAGTTTCTGTCGGGAGGATGCCATAGCGGACGAAGCGTGTGGTGAAGAGCAAGTCGGGGGCAGTGGAGAGGGTTTGTGGCTAGAGAGAGGAAGTAGAGAGATGAAGTTTGCAAGTTGTGAGGACTGTTGAGGGGGAGGAAGGAAATTTATAGGGGGGAAGGGGCGAACGAAGAAGAGAGAGAAAGGGGAGGCGAAGAGGCTTCCCCAATCCGCTCCCGATTTTGAAATTTGAATTTCGAATCGCGAGCGGATTAGGGGGAGGGAAAGGAGAGGAATCGCAAGGGACACCATGGCACAGAAAAAGAGGCGGAAAGGGGGGCAGTCGAGGGAAAATAAGATAAAAAATATATATAATAAAAAAATATATGTGTATATAAAAAAGAAAAATAATAATAATAAGAACACACGCCTACGAATAGGCGAGTGGGGGAAAAGAGCGTGGATAAGAAGATATAAAGACAAGGGAGAAGCGAAGAATAAATCGTACGAAGAGAGAGCGCATAGCGGAGAAGGAAGCGCGCGAACCTCAAGAGAGGCAAGACGCACGGACCTCGGGAGAACCCCTGGGAGCGGACGCAGGTCCAAGAAAGGCGCGGAGAAAATACGCAGTCAGACCCCTAACTTTGGGTGTTAGGCGCCTGGCTGGGGGGCAATTGTTGGGGGAATGAACATGGGCCGGCCCAGATGAGAGAAGCCCAAAGTAAGTTATTGTGTACCAGATGCGTGGGCCCAACCAGGGAGACTGAGAAAGCCCATGGGAGCAGGAACCCTGGGCGGAAGGGCGCCTGGACCTAAGCCTAGGTGGCTGAGATAGCGTGGGAGACATTTGGGACCGGGCACCTGGCAAGGGACATATGGGACAAAGGCAGTCAACGGTCGGAAGTGTACAAAAAGCTGATCTGGTGATGTCATGCGCCCCCCACCTCTGACTGGAGTGTCAGATGGTCGAGGAGCATGGTCCGGGGATGTACGGTGCATTTATGGCGGGTCTGACACAGGGCGAGAGCGACGTGTACCGGTTGATCTCGCCCTGGGTATAAAGAGTCAAGTAGGTGAACCTCATTTACTCAGTTTTGCTTCTCTTACTAGAATTGTTCCTTCACTTCTCTCTCTAAAAAGTAGGTTCTTACTTGAGCGTTGGAGTGCTAACGGACCATCCCGGTCCGCTAGGCGCTTGTATGGGTGCAGGGAGGCGGCTGTACGATTTTCCACCAAAGCTATTGCTTGTTTGTGTTGCAAATATACTCATTTATTATTAACTTGTAATATAAAATTTAGCTTTACTTTATTACCATTAAATAAGTAGTAGTTTAAATTTTTGTTAAAAGTCACTTGTATTACAAATAAGTAATTTATAGTTTTGTAAAATGATGATTTTACTTGCTATACATAATTATATATTAGGAATATATTAAAATCAATATATTATTATAGTTCTATTAATGAATTCTACTTATAATATTCTTGTTTATGAAGCACCGATTCATTAATTATATAATATCGATAAATCAATAAAATGACTAAATGTGAACCTCTCACTATATCGGCGTATAATCCTATTTGATTTTGATAATATTGACAACAAAAACAAATGTATAACGCTATCGCTATTATAGAATAATAATGATTAAAGCGCCACAAAAACTTGTACAAGGAAAAAAGCACCACAAAAACCGAAATATAAATCATTAAAGCAAACTGGCACGGTAATCAGGCAAGTCCTTCTAATAATATTTGTTTATTCTACCAAAAAAATAATAATATTTGTTTATTAGTTCCATTAATCGGCAGTAAGACTAACTCCAACCCTAGAGCTAAAAAGCCATTTACCCATTTTTAGCTCTTTTTTTGTGCTCCAACCCACATTATTTTGGGGAGCTAAAAATGGGTATTGGTGAATTGGGAGCCAAATTTAGCTTCCAAAAAAGTGAAAAAGCCAAATTTGGCTATAGGAGATGGTGGACCCGCGGTGGGTCCTCTTTTATTTTTTTGTTTTTTGTTTTTTCTGTGGGATTTTCTCATTGGTTGATTGTGTTGTTTTTTCTTTTTGCTTTTTTGTGTGGTATTTTGTCATTGGTTGATTGTGTATGTTGTTTGTTTAATTGTTTGAAAGAAGATAGGAAATGTTATATGTTTAATTGGTATTTTTTTCATTGGTCCCGAAGTTAACGGTAACAAAATAATGACTAATTTTCCGAAACTTTTTTTGTCTCGGAATAAAAAAAAATTACATCGAAAATTTTGTTTTCAAAAGTAATAACTAACTATAGAAAATTAAAGTGAAATATGAAAATTAGAGGTCAAATAAGTATGCTTTATTGTAATAAATTGAAAAAAGGTAGGTAGGAAGCTAAATTTAGCATTGTGTAGGGTTGGAGTGAAAATGGGGTTTGGAGAGCTAAAAAGCCATATTTGACTACTTGGGGAGCCAAATTTAACTTTACGGGTTGAAGTTAGTCTAATAGGTAAAAGATGTGCCGGCATGAGTGCCGCTACGGCACAGTCGAATTCCCCAATAAAAGGTAGTTAACTAGTTAATAATTATGCAACACTAGAATCAATACCTGCGGCGGCTACGCAACGCCGCAAGAACTAAAGTAGCAGTAGCATGATCTTATGGAAGTCGATTTAAGTAAAACGAAATTGGGTTCATTGTGATACTGACAATAGTGTGTGTTTAAAAGATTTGAAAGTGTGTACATGAGACTTTCGTATCTTTGAGTTTCATAGGTAATCAACATAGGAATATAGCAATCGAAGCTAGAATTGTAGAAATTTAATCCCGCAAAAAATGTTGGTGTACCATCGTTCTAATGGGCTCAAGATTAAGTGCTGAAAATATATATGCAACATTGAATAACAATCTTCTTATTTCCAATGAATAGTCGAATAATACACATACTCTAAGCATTTCCAACCGAATCCAACTTATTAACATAGTTCTACTAAGCAAATACAAATTCAGGATTATGTTTTAGAGTTACCTAAGGAATACTTACAAATCTCTATTTAGTTATGCATCTGCATTTCTTATTTCAGCGTGTCTTCATTTTTTTGCCTCCCAAAATGGCAACAACATAAACTTCCAGTTTTACATGTCAAAGTTCAACCTTAGATTCCTTCACCTATTCTTTATTTTGTTTGCCCTTCCATCCGCAATCTTCACCTTCATGCTTCATGCTATTCTCCTTGTATTGCATGATCTCATCAATGGCTCACGTGTCCTCTCCCTCTGGGATTACCACGCTCCACTTCTGCTCCCCCTTATGTCGTCTTCTACAATTCGTTGTCAGATGTGAAGGCGACGTATGATGAGGCTGTAAGCTCGATTTTTGCCTATGCAAAGAAGAATTTCACGTCACCCAAGTTGAATTGTAGGGGAGTCTAGAAAAAATTGAGATAAAGATTATTTAGTTGGGATACATAATGTATCCACTTTGGGCATGAGGTAGAAGCATTGGTATCATCTCCATTTTCTATTGCAACCGCACTACCAACCAACATTTTAATTTGATATCCTCAGCTGCAAGGTTACTCAAAAGAACATAAACAAACTACATGTTACAAAATCGCTTGAGTGATAGAAAGTAAATGTGACATAAGTGCTATGCCTGGGCAGGGGAATGGGAAAAGAAAGGGCTCAGAAGAAATAAATTGGGCTATGTTGAGACAAACCTACATGAGTCGTGTCCACAAGGTGGGGAAATCATAGCAACAACATAGATAATCACTCACTATCAATAGGGACTAAAAAGTATTAAGGGATGGGATTAGGTGCTAAAAACGCTACTAAAAATAACGAAATCACTACGGATTATTATAAAATCAATACAACATCTAAGCTAAATCACTACTAATTCAAACTAGTAGTAGTTTTTCCGTTGGTTAGGACGGTGCTAACTATTGTACAATTAGCACCGTAACTCCTCCCAAGTATTAAGGATTAAGATGTAAATGGCCTATTAATTAGTATGACATTCTTCTAAATGGAAGGTAGAACTTACCATTGCTTTGAGGTCAGCACCCTTTGGCTTCTTAGCAAACTGAATTGCTCTACCCCTGCTGTCTAATTTCGCCAACCCATAATTCGAAGCACGGCTACCAAAGTAGCGCCCAATGTCAGATTTGAGCCTAAACAATGTATCAAAAGTCAACTGAAGAGAAACTGTGCGAAAGATCCAACCTTTCACCAACTGCTTCACATGAAATGGTGATTTCCGCATTGCTATCAACATGTTGATGAGTACGTAACAAACTTTTAAGAAAACAGGAAAATGAATTTATGTTTCATGAACAAATGTAATGGCGAATTACCTACACAAAGTCGATGTAATCCATTCGATAGAGATTATCGCAATGCAAGATTATTATATTCTCAACATTCCTGTTCTTTGCATCATACTAAAAAGGTGGATAAATTTTCAGGGTCAGCATGCACCTCTTTCCCCGACAATCCGGCGGTGGCGGGCAAGAGCCGCCATGTCGATCCTTTCCTAACGGTAACAATGACTCTCTCATCTCAAAACATAGAGTATGAGATGGCGATGCTCTCCTTTCCCTACTCTAAATTGACACTCACTGTTTTCCTCTTCCCGCCGCACCAATCTTGTGTCCTCAACGGTGGAACTGGATTCGGCTCGACCCGAGGATGGCAGTTGGTCGTTGTCGCCTCCTCTTCCGTCATGATTGTAGTCTCCTCGACGGCCTTAATCACCCCCTAAGAAATCCAAATCAACAAAACATCAGATTCAAAATTTTAAAATATGAAAATACTCCAAGAACAATACGCAACCAAAATCCCATACCCCCGTCGCCATCATCGTGATCATCTCCTTCATCGAGCACCAATATACCTGCCGTCGTCATCGTTTTCGTTTGGAAGGAAAGGGTTTCGTCCCTTTTCTTTGCTTTTTGCCATTTTGGGCCGCATGAACCAAGAACATAGGGATCTGTCCAGAGCTTGGCGACTTCGGCGAATCCACCGGACCGCGCAGACGCTGTTTCAACTCCGGAGCTTTGTCCTTCCAGGCTAATTTGGCCAGGATATTGTAAATCATGGTTTATAGCAAGCAAAAGAGGGTAGAGCGCAAGAAAGAACCGGTGGAAGAAGAGGGAGTGAATTTTGGGAACAAAGAAAGAGAAGACCCAACCTCCAATTCTAATGATAGGCGAGAATGAGACGAAAGGCTGATGCAGAGACAGAGGCACCACCGCTTTGAGGGAGCAGCTCGCTAAATGCCAAGAATTGAAACAGTAGCAAGAAATTTTGGCAAAAAAGCGTACCCGCTAATCTTATCTTACTATATATTATGGTTGTTCAAAAGTTATTTCTTGCCACATAAGTATTTGAAGAATTCACAAGTGGCCAAGGTGGACAATTTTTTTGGAAACAAAAAATTTAGTTAATGACATATTTATGTAGCTATCTCTCTCTTCTTTTAATATTTTTTTCTTTCAATCAATAATTCCTTTTTTCTTTTGCATTATATATGCAATAATAGACTAATGTTTGTAAAGTTATATCTACCACATTTTTTTAAACCGAAACATATTATTACATCTTTAAGTCAAATTTCTACTGATTTATACTAGAACTTATAAGTTATACTTTAATGAAAAATTAAAAAGATACACACATAAGTAATAATATTTCATTCGATCAAACAAATATAATGATGGAAAGAGAGAAAAAAGTTGTTTGACGATCAACCGACTTTAATAAATACTTTTTACTGTTCATTAAGAAAAACAGGCTATTTTTTCTCCATGGGTACTGTTTACAATAGGGTTTTGTCTCATATACCCAATTTTATCCTAATCCCTTTTTCCTCCTTTTCTGTAATATTATTCATATGATTTTTATTCTCTACAACCACTTTTACGATAAGTCTAAAATTCATAAATAATTATTATTACACAACATATTATGAATCTCCTTTTCTGCAATATTATATGTGTTTTATTCTCTACAACCACTTCAAAGATAAGTCTAAAATTCATCATCAATTATTATTAGACCACATTATGAAATTTTTATGTAACAAAATTTAATAAAAGTTATATAAATTGAAAATTCATCGATGTTACTTACTATAACTTGATTATACTATTAGACCACACACTATGAAAAAATTATTTAATAACGTTCTATAACTATTACATGAGTTTTACTTAATTATTAGGACACTACGTAAAGTTTATGGACAAATAATCATTTATGTATCAATTAAAAAAATATGTAAGTTTTCTATAATAATTAAACACTACGTAAACTTTCTGTAGAAATAATTATTTACAATGTATCACTTAGCCAAACGGATGACGTATGTTATTCGTAAGTATTAAAACACCACGTGAAACTTACATATGTATCTTATCTTAATAATTTTCTAAATTATTTGATTTAAACTAACTCATTAGTTCCTATCACGGCGGAGCGCGGGCCAAGAAATTAGTTATATGTAAGAAGAATTAAATTATTCACTGCATCTTTCTTATCTGTCAGCCAATATGGGTAGTCCTTTTCCTTCTCGGATTAACTAATTTGCTCTCTATAAAATGCAATCCTCCCAATTCTTCCGTTAAGAATCAATTCTTATTCAACAAAGAAACTCTCAAACCACGAGTTCAACTCCCGCTCGGGTGACAGTATTATAAGATGAATGATAGGAGACCGTGGGCAGGGGCGGAGCAAGCTTAGTTATCGGGGAGGCCCCGGTCCCCCCGAGAATTTTGGAGTTCACGCATAAACGGTTAGATATTTTACGTATAAATATTAAAACCTATATAAATAAGTTGAGAGTGCACGAAAATAGCAAACCAGCTTACTTAGTCTAGCAGTGTAAGAGTCCTTAAACAAGGTAGAGATTCTGTGTTCGATACCTTGTGCTAGCTAGTAGCAACAACATTTTTTGGGAGCAGAAGCACTTTTTGTACTTTATTTCATATAAAAGTTTTTATTTAACATATGTCTTTTGAATTCTTTTAATTTTTTAAACTAACTAGAGTTTCAGTTTTCATTTGACAAAACAAGTAAATTAAATAATTTACTTTCATTTTTAGTTTGTTAAGTCCTTAAATTCCAATTAGAACAAAATTCTTCAATTTGAAGGATTGTTTTCTAATAAAAGATAATTATTTCAATACTAATTTTGACAGACATCAATTTTTTAGTTATGAAAATATAATTTTATACAATATTAACATTCATTGTTACCTTTTTATAGCTTTGTAATTTGTATTGAACTGAATGTGAAAACATTGTTAGTATAACTTCTATTTTGAATTATCTTAATAATGTCAAACAAGATCTTATGCAATTATAGAATTATAAAATTTAACAATTTTAAAATTATAATGTCATACAAATAAAATAAGAATTTTTAATATCTCAGATTTTTTATATGATTAGTATAATATAATTTTTAAACTTTTTTAGATTTTTTGCGATAACATAGTAAGAAAAGCTCGGCCCCACCCCCCCCCCCCCCCCCCCCCCCCGAGCCTCAAATCCTGGCTCCGCCCCTGACCGTGGGCCGATCTTCCTCTCGAGATTCTAACTCTGATACAGCAGCCACTGTCATGGGAGAACGATTGCAACTTCAGGGCTACCTGTCGCGGCTGGAATTTCACACTTGTTCTCGATCCGATCTTCTACAAGAATGTCAAGTATCCGTTCTTGCTGCGCTTCTCCAAAAATGGTAGCAACGATCCACACTCCGCCTGCTGTGAAGTTTAGTATGCTGCTCACAACAAAACGTATCATGTTCGCGCACCAACTCAACTCCACGGCGATGCTCATATTTTCTGCTCTAACTATGGCTGGTTGTTGTTGGGTGAGGACTCGACAGTATTTTTCTATCATCCAATCACAGAACGCATCATCAAGTTGCCAAGGAGTTCAACAACCGCTCATGTTCCCTTCAACTGGATGAGTTTTTCAGCTCCGCCTACATCCCCAGATTGTGTGGTTATGGGTTTCAGGAATTCGGAATCCCAGGAGAAAACCAACATTTCTTTCATTCGGCGAGGACAACGTTCTTGGAAGCACTACAATGATGTTCCAAACAGGATGGGATTGCACAACTACGTTCCTAAGAAGTTGATTGTCAAGATGATTAGGGTTTGTGAGCCCGGAATAATTCGTCAAGCGAAGCGGCGGCGAAGATCCTCATCATCACGCAAGGCAAAATTCATGTGGTCTGATTCTGCTTGTTTGTTCCCCTGTTTTCTACAGAGGAGCTTTCTATTGTCTAGCTCGAGATGGGCGGCTGGGAGTTTTCGATCCCAAACGAAAGAAGAAGAACAAGATGTGGAGGCTACTTCCTACAAGGTTCATGGATGACGACCCACAGAACCAGCCGTATCTAGTAGAATGCAAGGGAGAGTTGATCTCGATCGTAGTCGTTCCCATGGGGAAACTCATAAGAGTTTTCAGATTCAGCGAGCGCAGACAAGTATGGCGGATTTTGGACGGGCTCAAAGATCAAATGGTTTTCTTGAATAGCACCGGATGTATTGCTGTAACATGTGACAACGGGCAAGTCGAGCGGTTCGCTAACACCATTCATTTTCCAAGACTGCACGAAGGTCGACATATGTTCTACTCGGTCTCGACAGAACAGTTTCACTCGTTTGGAGGCGACTACATATCAGATGACTTGTATGATACGAAGCTCGCGTTGAATCACGCGTGGCTCATCCCAAAGTTCTCGATCCCATTATCCGAACAACAGAATAACGTACATCAGCATTACATTATCAGAAACTTGTCTCTGTTACCACCACGGAGTAGCGGTGCATATTCGTCAGAAAGCCAGCAACTGGAATTCAATTTTCTTTATAGAGGCACGAGACATGAAGTTGTATGTATTTGATTATGAAAACCGTACCATTTCAACTTCCAGGCCTTGTCCTAACATTGATGATTGGCCCCTGGGTCCTTTGTGTTTTATGTGGTACAAATAGTATTGGAAGGCAAGGTTATTTTATTTATAGCTACTTTTGATCGTTTTCTTTATGAAAGCACTTAGATAACAATAACAGAGTTACAATTTGATTTGATGGGCTTATTTTGCTTCTTCTTTTCATCCCTTGCTAGATCAAGCTCTGTTTTAGTTTGCTTGTATCCCCCTTCTTAAGGGTTCGAACATTGTTATTTGCTTCCCCTGAGAGTGCTTCATGCTTGGTGGGGAAAGTACTGAATTCTCATTTCTGGCCATGGGAAAAGCTTGGAGCTTTCATGTTAATAATAACAAGAATCAATACCCGCGGCTACGCGGCGTAGGAAGTAAACTTGTATCAACATGATTGAAAGACAAAAATAAAAATGGTATGCATTTGGAAGAAGCGTTGAACATTAACTGCTTTTCATATCTTGGTAAGTAGAATACATTTACCCAAGCATGATTGAAAGAGAATATTAATCCTAAAGAACTGAACAGTAGTTGTTTCTCATATATTGGTAAAGCATAGTTGGTATTATCCAGACACATTTTACCAACTGGAGCAGTAATATGTTCCAAGTACTTTTACACTATAGCCAAAATATAAGAGATACATTGCATAAAGAAGGAGTTTAGAAAGTAAAACAGGGATTGAATTGCTCTTGCCCGAACCCAGCAGAACACAATTATTATCTTATATATAATAGCAGACTACACTTTATTACCCCAAACTTCCAACTACTGTTTCATTATTTGGCGTTTTGTGGGATGGAACTTAAAGAGAGCTTCCCATTCATTCGGATTTGCTGCCAAACCGAAGAGCTTCCCCTTCTTTTTCTCAATTGCAGGTGGCAGGTGCCCATACTTTCAGTATCCTCCATCTTTTCACGGCCTCACCTCAAAATCCACAATCACAAGCCACCACTTTAGCCTTCTCTGTCCTGAGTCCTCGCACAGCTGCTCCTACACGCCATCGGCCATCCCTTCTGCTGCTTTCCCTGCCAAATACATCTTCCACCAGTTCGTACAAAAAGAGACTCTACTGTTTTCCTATTCCATGCTTTCCGCCTCAAAGCAACTACTCGTGGATGGCTCCTCCATTCCTGGGTCGCCTGAAACCCAATTACCGAAGTCGTGGCCTGAGACATGGTCGTTGCTGCAGCACGAATCCGTACCGTGAGTCATTGCTACATCAGAAGTCCGTTTTCCCAGAGACGACTGCAGAGTCAAAACTTCTTCCTCGGAGAATGATGGGAGGTCTGGAGGAAATGGTGTTCGTCGAGATGTGGTAGCATAGAGTCAGAGTGTGTGTCCGGGAAGGATGTAGATTTTAGGCCCCACAACAGCCAATCTGGCGTGGCTAAAGAGTTTGGGGGAGAAAGTACGGAATGGGAAAGAAGAGTCGTTCACATTCCGATCTATTAGGGGGGGGAGAGGCGGCGAAGAAGGAGAGGAAGGAAGCGGAGTCTAGGAGGTGTGACCAGCGGTGGATACGGAGTATGTATGCTTAATTTGGGGTTTCAGTTTCTTATGCCAGGCTCTGCCGCTTTTTCCATCGTTGTTTTTAACTTTTGGGGTTTCAATAATGCAGGGCATAAAAAAGTCATTTTGTTCCAACTTACAACAACAAGCCAGCATCATCCTCGAATGGTGAAGGGTTCAACTAGCTAGAAGAAGGAAGTGCTGCAGAATTGGCGATGAAAAGATAAAGGAGAGGAAGAAAAGGAAGAGAGATAAAGGGGAGAGACTACAGAGAAGAAGGATGATAAGCATGCTAAAATGAAAAAGGTTTATGTAATTTGGGGAGTTGGCAGGTTTAGGTAGCAGAGTAATCCACTAGCCATGGAGGAAACGGAGAAGAAGTATCAACGACTATTCGGAAGTGTGAAGGATGAAATGGAGAGATGGGAGAAACTCTTCAGTCGCGTGTTCTTCTTCCATCGTTGAGAGTTTACAGGTGAACTTTTATCCTGCTTTGCTTGCTGAATCTCAGGAGCAAATATGTGTGCTTGAGTTCATTTCTCTGTTTAGTTTTTTTCGGACTAATTATTTCTGAGGACAAGAAGCCAAAGGCTGTGATTAGTTCCCACAAAATGATGTCATTCTCGATGTGCTAATATTCACAGCAAGGTTAGCGTTACAATTTCCCTGTTTTGTAATTGAAGGACACCAAATATTCTTATTGCAGATCATCATCCATCAAACATCCAGAAGTAGGCAGAGGAATATGCAGGTCTAATCATGGAAGAAGTCGATCTTGAACAACATGGAGACATTATTGTTAGGGAATTACACTCTAAAATTTGGATGGTGTAAGTAATATGCAACAAGACAAGGTTTCTTAGTGGGCTATTTCCTCATGCAAACAGATAGATAGGTTAGAAATGCTTCTGCTACAATTTTTGGTTGCTCTTTGTGTTGTTTGATTGTGGCATCGATCTTTGAATACTTAGACTTCTGCAGGCTATCCACTTTACATTGTTGTACTTTACAGAGGTTGTCATTTTTCAGGACCAAGGTAGGAGATGTTGCCTGGTCCAACTAGGCTACACCATCAAGACCAGAAGCTGATTTACGAAGACAGAAAAGGGATTTCAAGGCATTCCTCAATATAACAGAAGCTTCAGTCTACTGAGGCGAGAAAGGATTTGGAGTATCTTCCTGTGTCATTCCTTTAGCCATGCTTAATTATAATCCCACTAAAGAAAATCATGGAATTTTTTCATTTATTAACTCTTTGAGTTCCTGTTTCAGTTTGTTCAGCTTCAACTCTGAAGTCTATTAATCTGCCACCCTGGACCAACGAGCTAAATAGGATTGAGGAACCATTGTTGGCACTTCCTCATGCCGAAGACAACTGGTGGGAGGCTGATGAAGGAACAAATGTAAACAGCCTGCTCGGAAGTAGTTTCAGACTGCACCAACAGTAGCATGTATATGTGGCAGCAACAACACTTGTTGGTATTAATCTTGCCCTTAACATTGATACTTCCAGATTTAATTAGTACCTTAGGTGTATGTTTATAAGGTTTGTAGATTACTACTATGGTTGGCTATTGTAAAAAGTCAAAACACATTCTGCCAAAATTGGTCCTCTTACTTATTTTGCTTCATGTGGATTTGGTGTTTTGATTATGTGGCTTAATTATATCTGCCACCATTGTTTTGGACTGCCTTTCATGGTCTCTGTCAGTCTTTGTATATATAAAATTACGAATCTAACTTCAGATATTTTCGGGTAATCTGATATGCCCGACTGCTCTCTTTACCTTCTATTGACAGGTTTTTCAGCGAAAGGAAGAGGCTGATGGATTTGTGCTTTTTGGCATAAACTAACATTTGTTCAAACAAGCATCATAGGCTAAACTTTCCATTTAATATTCTTTCTTTCAATTCTTTCCATCGTCATTGTTAGGTCACGAGTCCCTAATTTATCTATCTATCTATACATAATACTAGCGTGGGCCCCGGCCATTTGGTCGGAGGAAGGTGAGGTATGAAATTTGATAATGTAATGGGGTGTATAGCTTATTGTATTTTTTTTTAGAAACACGTGAGAAAAATAGTGAATTTTAGTAGAAAAGAGACATGAATGATGCAACGAATAAAAAATCAGCCTTATGAACCAAAATCAAGTACTTGTTACATTGTGAAACAATATTGTTTCTAGTAATATGATGAGGTTGAGTAAGTTCTATAGAAACCGAATTCCAGAAAATCGGATAAAAAATCCCCTATCCCGCCGATTTTCGGGAAATGAGCATCTCACAATCGTTGCTAGCTTTTACTCGGCCCGTTGGCCGATTAATTTGCTTTATAAAACTTTCATCTTGTCATCATTGTGATTTTTGGTTTTTTGCTAAGCCATGATAAAATCTAAAGAAATCAAGAATGAACAACACGATTTGGGATAGGAACCACCGTTCTTGTATCCCTAGAAAATGGTGGTAAACACGGACTCACCTGCCAAACTGGTTTGGATTGAGATTTTTATCGGGTATCAGGGAACCATGTGATTATAAATTAGACTTGACCAAAACGGACCAAAACTTGAAATCCATCCTATTTGACCGACCCATGCCAAACTCTAATTATTCTTTACTTTTAAACTTTCTATTTGAAAATAAAAAATAATGAAAGAAAAGAGATGCCTGCAATTCGACATTTGCACATCACTGATTCGGGAATAAAACTATAGAACTTTGAAAGGAAACTGAAAATGTTTAGGATCGTTTTAATGTTACAAATAACCAAATAGATTTTTCTGTTTAGTTTTTTACTAACAAATACCAAACGATTCCCTATAATATACACTATAATTTAATCATTATGATATCAAATAATTACATAATATATATTTGAAATGATAAAAATTGGACTAATTGGGTTGGTCGAAATTGAACCATTGAATAACTTTAAAATACATTATATTTTATCCACTAAAATATAAAATAATAGCATAATATATATTATGCTAGAGAAAATAGCTTGTTTTAGAATGACAAACCCATGATGTTCATTTGTTTTACTTGATGGGAAAATCCCGTGTAGGTCAGGCCCATTCAACTCTTTTATTTTATGATTAGCGGTTAGCCCATTAGAATCCATGCATTAGTTTATTGTTAAATTTTTTTCATTTTAGCAATAAAAAGGAGTATTATTTTTTTTTTCCTTTTCATATTTTTTTTACTACCACGGAGAAATAAAAGGACTTAAAGAAAAAAATTGACACTCATGGACCCGTTTAAATCCGCATGTGTACGGTAAGTTGGCCCGTTCCACGGAGAAAAAAGAAAAAAATTGACACTCCCTATTCTACTCTTCCTACAGACGCTCCTGGAGCAGGGAATTTGAAATGGGTGAAGGGTTTTTTCCTCTTTGCAATTATATGTTTTTTATTTAAATATATACAACAAATGTATTTAGTGTGATTAGTTATGATCTTTACTTTTCTTTAAAGTGGTCATGGTTCGAATCCTAGTAAGTGTCTTTTTAATGAATAAAAAAAATAATTGTGAAGACCAAAATATCCTTCCTACTTTCACTCTGGATGCATGAAATTTGAAATGGGGTTTCAAGTTTTTTCATTTGGCTTTTATTTATTGTGTAGATTATAGCAATTCAAAAGTAGTTTGTTGCCACATAAGCATTTGGAGAATTTACAAAGTGCCATGGTGGACACTTTTTTTACAAACAAAAAAGTTAGTTAATGATCAATTAATGTAGCTATATCTATCTTTTTTTAATATTTTCTTTTTATTTTAATGATCATTTATGTAGCTATCTCTATCCTCTTTTAATGTTTTTTATTCAATAATTATATTTTTCATATGTGTAACAACATTATACTTATGTTTCGAGAGTGACATATATTGTAATGCTTCAAAAAATATATTTGATTAAATTTGGTCAATTAATTTTTATTTTTATTAGAACTTAATATAGGTTATCTTTCGATAAAAAATAAATAAAACACACAGATAATTAATAAACAAATTTAAAAACAAAAATAATGAAGAAAGTTTAGATAATACATATTTAATAATCAATTGAATTTGAAAAATCAACTATATAATTTTAATTTTTGGTTATCAAACACTATATTTTTCAATACATAATATTATAGCAATTCAAAAGTAGTTTGTTGCCACATAAGCATTTGGAGAATTTACAAAGTGCCATGGTGGACACTTTTTTTACAAACAAAAAAGTTTGTTAATGATCAATTAATGTAGCTATATCTATCTTTTTTTAATATTTTCTTTTTATTTTAATGATCATCTATGTAGCTATCTCTATCCTCTTTTAATGTTTTTTTATTCAATAATTATATTTTTCATATGTGTAACAACAGTATACTTATGTTTCGAGAGTGACATATATTGTAATGCTTCAAAAAATATATTTGATTAAATCTGATCAATTAATTTTTATTTTTATTAGAACTTAATATAGGTTATCTTTCGATAAAAAATAAATAAAACACACAGATAATTAATAAAAATTTTAAAAACAAAAATAATGAAGAAAGTTTAGATAATACATATTTAATAATCAATTGAATTTGAAAAATCAACTATATAATTTTATTTTTTGGTTATCAAACACTATATTTTTCTAATTTTTATATCTATCAACGAAAACAAGTATTAAATAGCAAAAAATTACAAGCAAAATATTAATGTAGCTAATTCTATGCAACAAATTACATGCACAATCTTAGGGGTTAAGCTCTATGATTTAGATAACTAAGACCTAGGATTCACTCATTAAGGGTTAGGGTATAGTATCATGCCCACAAATCCGGTTAATTCGTGGTCCAAATAGCATTTCCTTGCTTAGAGTACAATATCATGCTTAGATATTGACAATAGATGTGGCATTACACCAACAAAATGAAGATATTAGTATAAGTAATGAAATTTTTATCTCAAAACAAACACCAACAATAAATACATTTTAGCAAATGCATATTTGATAAGTTAGAAAATTATACAACAATGGACCATGTTAAGATTAGAACCCTCGACAGTGTGTGAGTATCTTGGACTGAGATTCTAAACCAATTAACATCTAAACAACGACCATGAGTTGAGGGTGAGTCTATCTTAAACTTCAGGAATTAACAATTGGTACATATTGTATAAGATCTTACACCAAATATGATCTTACACCAAGACATTAAATTTTCAATTGGGATGACCAAATTTATGTAATATTGAAGTACCTTTATAAAAAAAATTCTAACTAAGTTATCGTCATCTGAGCAACATCATTGGTTGAGAGTTCGTCCAAACTCGAGATTCATTGAATGACATATATTGTATAAGACAAAAAAAATTGAGTATCGTTATTGAAAAATCTTGACATAACATTCTATATGGGACGTGATATATCTTTGTGACATGATTTATGATCAGTGAATCGAAGCATCATAAATGAATGTGCTAAGTATTGAGAATTTTTAATTCATAGACGCACAACATACTCACCAATGAATGCAAATCTAAAAAATTTAGAAGATCCAAAATAGTTTAAACATATAGATAAATTGATTAATGCAAATGACAAAATTAAACTCACCGGCCAATGGCCGGGTAAAAAGCTAGTTGAATTCTCAACGTCGTTCGTATTGTATTGTTCTCCTTTGGAAATTTCCTTTCCTAGGCTGCTCTTTGAACTGGAAAATATAGTCAAACTGCAATTAGTTGAAGCAGCCAGTTGTGTTGGGTGTGATAGCTTGGTCGCTTTAATTCAATGATGACTTCTTATGTTGTCATGTCTTGGTTTCAGCAATGATGATTGAACTGGGCAATGGAATTGACTGCAGCGATGGAGACGCCTGCATGTTCACCTGCCCGGTGTGATGGTTTTGATCACTTATACGACACCCGCCAAAAAAGGGGGAAAAAAAGAGGAAACAACTGGATTTGCGGAAGCAACCATCTTCCCGGAATTTGGGCAACTGCTTTGAGGTGCTCTAATGATGATGTTGCATCAGAAGTCAATTTACAGCAGCAGCCTAAACTGAAACCCACACTATCAACAAATAATTTTTTATGCTAGCAAAGATCTACTTGGCCATATAAATGAATGGTGCAATGAGTTGAAGAAGATGTCAATTAGAAGTAGGGACTGAGAGGAGGATGGTGAGACCTTGGAAGCTAACGAAAACCAAGTGTTCTGCTTCTGCAGGCTTTTGTTTGAACAGAATGGTAACATTAAGTGGTGGCGGGTTTACATTAACTTTAACATGATGGTAGTCATAAAGAAAAAAAAAATTGCTAACATGTTTTCTGTTTGCAGGTCTTGGTGAAGTATAGTAAATTTGTTATTGTCTTGCAATAAGCATCCCAATTTGACAATAGACAAGTGCGTCACAAAATCAATTTTTATCTTCCAATAGACAGGGGAATCCTTGCATCAGAGAAAACTACAACGGCCTGCATTGACCATAAAGTCATAAACTAAACTGCCCCTCCTTTCATCACGACTCTGCAACTTAAGTCTCCATGGCGTAGCAGCGGGCAATTTTTCTAGTATATGATAACAGGCTGAAGAAAATGAGCTGACTGGTCACAACCAAAGCCAATTGAGAACTGTAAAAGGAAAATAAACTGAAACTTCAGAACTGCCATGAAGGACAGATTGAAGAACTAAAAGAAACAGGAAATCATAATAAGCTGCAACCTGATAGATGCATACTTCTATGACGTTGGGATTAAGTCGTTGAGCAAATAGCAATTCACATACTCATTTTGCTGCAACATGCATAAGTCATAGACGAATATGAGCATTGCTCATACACAACAAAAACAACGGGAGAGAAAAAAAAAAGGGGAATAGGTTCCAATGATACACTTAAAGTTAAGGCATTTCAACACGGCAACATGAAAAGAGAAGCACACAGCCAACAAAAACACAGAAGCAGTACAACAATAAAGTATGAAAACAACAAAAGACTCGTATCTTCCATCCTCCAGTGCTCGTGTAAGTAATGACTGTGCCTACAAAGTAATACAACAATAAAGTTGATTATCTTTCCCGAAGTAACTGGAATCCCAGCTCCACATATGAAACTCGATGGTAAGCATACAAACTTACTCAGTCCACCAGGCTGCTGTCCATGTAAGCATGAGTCGTGTCTACAGGGTGCCATCCTATAATCTGCTGTAGAGCCATTACTCCAAAGGAGAACACATCGGATTTGTCTGAGAGCTCTCCACTTGAACCATACTTGGGAGCCAAGCATCCACATAAATACAAAGCAAATGCATCAGCAAAGCATTGCGATAATAATACTCACAGCAAAGCATACTCAGGAGCCAAGCATCCCACGACCCTGCTTGCATAAAGTACCTTGGCCTCGAGCTTTAAATCAAAGAGTATGTTGAGTGCCTTAATATAACACGTGTCTCGTGCAAATTACAAACTGAAACTAATCAATTAATAGACTATTTAGAGAAGCACCAATGACACTCATATAGAAAGATCTCGATTTAAAGTACATAGACAGAATATGAGGTTTCCTAAGTTGTAGAAGTCAAAGGAGAGGGGAGAACGCAAACTCACTCGTAGAAGCGTGATCCCACGCCCCACGGGGATGAGGCCAGAGTGTCCTCTATTCCTTCTACGTCACCGTAGTCTTCTTTTTCATCTTCTCCAGCTGCTGCTTCTTCCACCAGCAAAACTAAGAAAGGTGTAATGAGGTGGGGAAGAGCTTCCAGGGTGAGATAAGTACTCCGCAATCGCATTCTGCCTGGCGGACCCTTCATGATGGCTTTAGCCACCGATGGCGTTGTTCCCAAGCTTTCAAAAGAGATTCAGGGGAAATAACAATAAGAATGAGAGGGATATTGAGAAATCAAAATGAAAATTATTTTGAGTCACGACAGAGACAGATAGAGAATGAAGTATGAACCTTCTATTACTACTACATTCGAAACTTAGCCGCCATTTGATCCTTTGTATCCGGCACAACCTCCAAACCATACCCAAAATAGTGCCAAACCACTTCTCATACCCTCTGTCGTGGGCAATACCGCCGACGATCAAAGCGAACACCAAGAACGCTTTGCTTCTCTTGTCCTTGCTTGTGAGCCTCACCTGTCCCAACCAAAGGAAAATGAACACGCTTGGTCTAAACCCAGCATTAAAACATCAGATTAGGATAACAGCAAGCTCTGCAGACTGCAGCACCTCATACATACTGCAGCTTTCAATTTTTGCAGCGTGACAATCTGCTTTGAGAAAGCAAAGGAGAGAACTGTCCAACATGCAGTAAACGTACTGCCACATTTTTAACCAACAAAGGCCATTAGTTTAAGAATCTCAAGCTTGAACCTGAAACTGAGAACACCACTCTACCTGTGAGCAGGAGAAGGAGAGGTGGAGCTACACAGTTAACCCTAAACTTTAGTTTCCTCATGTCCGGCCTCCTTGGTGAACTACAAAATCTCAAGTATCCATGATCAATGGCTGGAACATTAATTATACATACATAGGAAGCAGACCATAAACACAGTAGCAGCAAAGTCACCTAACTGTAGGTTGCAGCCTCACCACCATTTCTAAGCAGCCTCACCATCAGTTCTAAGAAGCGTGTGACTGGATATCCACATAATTTTTTACATGGTACCAGGTCTAAGTAAGAGATACATTTTATAAAGAAGAAGATAATTATACACAAACATAGGGAGATTGGAAAGTAAAACAGGAACTAAATTGCTCTTGCCCGAACCCTGCAGAACACAATATATGTTAACATGCTGAAGAAAATGAGCTAGCTGGTCACAACCAAAGCCAGTAGGAGCATACTGGGAACTTTAAAAAGAAGATGAATTGAATCTTCAGAACTGCCATTAAGAATGGATCAAGAACTAAAAGAAACATGAAATTATAATAGGTTGTAACCTCCTGATAGATGCATACTTACTTCTATGGCATTGGGATTGACAGTTTCTGGTCTTCATAATGTAGGGCAGTTGTTCAAGTCAACATCTTCTTCAGACCCCTGTTTCGTTACACTAAAATAAGAGAGGAAAAGGTTCGACCTTCACTTAAAAAATGAGGATTAAGAGTTGATGCAATGATGTTAAGTTGTAGAACCCAGGCTGCTGCTGCCGCCATTAAAAGTACAAGCCTGCTGTTGCTGGCTTTCACCAGCCTGTCGTCTCTCTTTCTGTGTATCTCTGTCTGTCCGCACTGAAGGTCGGTAAAATGAACTGGTGTCGTCTCCAGCATCATCGTCATATCTGTCATCGTGGTCGTTTTCTCGTCATCTGCAGGGAAATTTGCATTTGGGAGACTGGGGTCGATCATGCTTGGCCATCTACACCGACGACGACGCTCCTTTTGAGGAAGACGGGAACTGGGAGGGAGATAGGAGGCGGCGCAGTGAAGTAGAGCAGCATCCGGAGCCCCGAACCGAGATAGTGGAGCGCTGCTGGAGAAACGAATCGGAGACGGGATCAAACCTCCCTGAGATTTGCGGGGGACCGGGTTCGACAACGTTGCTTCCAGATCCATCTACAGGTCGACCTGTTGAAGGTAGATAGCGGCTGCTTCTAGGGTCGTCTCATGAAACCCGCCTTTCCCCCGTTTGGACGAATAGGTGGAAGAAAAGCTATTTGGCAGGGATAGCAGCATGAGTCTTCTCTTAATCCATGGAAGTAAAGTGAGTACTGTATAAATCACGGGCGATGGCGCGTAGGAGCAGTTGTGAGAGGAAGGAGAAGACTAAAGCGGTTGATTGTGATAGTGGATTTTGGAGGTGAGGCGGCGAAGGGATGAAGGTCACAGACAGAAAGTATGGGCACCTGTAATTGATGAGACGATGTAGCAAACACGGGAAAGAGGAAGCTCTTTCGGATGGGTTACGTTACGTCTGCATCTGTGGGCGTTCGTTGGAATTGGGGGAGATCGTGCCGGCGAGAGGAAGAGGTGGGTGGGGAAGTTCTTTGCGAAGGAGTTGTAAGGAAAACCGCTGCTAAACGACAGAAAGTGATACAGTAATTGAAAAAAGTTGAACATAGATAGAAGAATAATTGTGTCTGTTCTAAAATTTGGGGAAAGTACTGAATTCTCATTTACTGCCTTCATTGTGAAGCAAACCTCGCTCCAGCTTCGCTCCCCAATCTTGTACTGATCGATCAAGCTCGCCAGAAGCTTTCTGTCCATTGTAATGGTTCTTCTGGATCCAGATCCCTTCTCCCAAGAGTAACCAACCAAGGGATTCAGACCATTAGCGAAGGAAACAGAATACAGAGTGAGCTGCTTTCACCTTTCATCATCATTGATGTTTTACAATCGAGGGATAGGATAGGATAGTGCACTGGAAAAATTGCAGCATCCTTTGCCCATTCTGATTGATTACATAAAACAAATATACACATGTAAGTTTTTTGACAGATGGGCAACCAAGGCACTCATACAATATGTAACTAGAAACTATCTATGTTAAATCAACCATCTACTTGACATTTCATTCCTCTCTGCTTCTTAATCAGATACATAAAAAAAAAAAAAAACTCCAACAAGAATCAGCACGCCTCGTCTAATACTGTTTCCTGTGTTTCTTGAGAAATTTTGAGACTCTTCAACACATACTAGTTATCAAGCACCTGCAGGTTCATGTTTTGGGTGTGAAGATGGAGTCTCCAAAGGTGAAGCATCTGCAGAACAGTGAGACAGGCGGCCTGGATATAACTGATGAGGGAGTGTCTCATTCGTGCTTGACAATAACTTCTTCAGTCTCTCTTTCAGGAAAGGTGAAAGGGCATCACATGATGTCAGAGTATCCAGAGAGTTAACCCCTTCAGTGACAAGACTGTTGAAGGCTAACGACACACCTTTAGCGATTGTATAAGAACGCACCTGGTCATAGTTGTCCACAAGAAGCAACAAAAACTCCAGAAGAGACTGGGTCATGCCGACATACTGTGGCATGGAACACACCATCAGTAGCATTGCTGGTTCAATATTCATGATGTTGTCCATTCTTTCGTCAAAGAAAAGCCAGTCATAAAACAATGCCAACTTTGCATTGGCTTCAACATACTTCTTTCTACAACAACTTAGCAACCAACCTATAATTGCCCATCTAGGTACACTATCAGAGTGAATAATTTCGTTCGATGGATGATGAGCACAGCATATGAACCGAATCATGTCAACTATAAGAGTCTCCCTCTCCGGCTCAAACAGGAACTTTTTGGCAAACCACATTTGGTAACGCTTCAGATGGCTAAATTTGACATGAACAAGTAAGAACCTCAATTGCAGCTCCATTTCTGGGGTGACTCGAAGCAAGAAGTACCTACTTGAGGTCCTAGTAGAGTACAGTTGTGCAACATCTGAAAACCCCTCAGTTCTAAATGTAGTTGCATCCAGAACTAAATCCTTCCATATACAGCGAAACTCTGGGACATGAACCAAGTCCTGAAGCAGCCTAACTAGGTCTCTCCCAATCTTCATACTCAAATGAAACTGCCCCCTCAACATCTTCACACAGAACTCAATCTCTAATTTCTTCAACAAGTCCACTCGCACATTGCCTGATACTCTACAATGATCGGCCAACAATCGAAGATACACATACAACGCACTTGTCAACACAGAGGGCTCTTCTTCCAGTAAAGATGTAAAGTTTGCCAAGAAGAGATTAATCAGCTCAAAACACAACCACAAACCCCTATCAGTATAATCACAGCCGACAGTGTGCCTCAACAAACCCACCAGCAAACCATCAAAACCAACCCCGGAAACACCAACGATTTCGTGAACAACCCAAATCAACTGCTGCTTCACAGAATCAACTAGCTTGTTGTACAGCTCAAGCACAACTCTAAGAGCCAAACTAACAAAAAGTGCATACCCATCGGAGACAATGCCATGAAGATGCTTAATATGAATCTTGGCAAACTGTGGTACAGTAAGTACCCCGTACAGAAGAGCATGATTGAGTTCGGTATACTCCTGCGGGGTTGGGATTGCAATAGAAAATGGGGGTCTTAATCTGGGTTCAAGTTCCATGAAAGCTTGCCTTAATGAAAACTCAAACTCGTTTCCCGCTTCATGAGTACCAATATTCAGCAGCTTTGATTCCATATCCTTCTCGATTTTGAGAATAAAACAGAGACAAGAGTTAACTCACCTGATTAAGATAACCTAAATCGTCACTTCTCCCGCTCCAAAATGCCACTTCCATGCAATTCGGGAACTGCTTTTCCAGCTGTTGCCGCAACCGAGAGAGAGATAGGGAGGCTGGCGCACATCTGTGTTGAACACGGTGGCGCTCGCCTTCTCTTTGATCGACTGTAAATCGCACCTGCAGTTTTCTTTCAGTTCAACGATTTCTAGGTTAGTACGAAGGAAAACTTTAATTAATAACGATGGGAAGAAGAAATTTTGATCTGAAAAGTATCCTAAATGTCCTTTCAATTTTGTTTCTTCAAAACGTGCAGGATTAAGGAGGTTATGGGCCAGAGATCAAGCCCAAATATTTAATTGAAACTCGTTTTTCTATTTGGCCCACAGAAAACACGTTGCAACCTTATTTCCCAGCTCACTTCACTTTAATCCAAAGACCTCCAACTATGACTAAAACGCAGACATTTAATTAAACACAAAGGCGGAGTTGCTTTAATGTTTTTTTTTTTTCGATCAAAGCTATCCTTTGTGGAACTTTGGATCAAGAAGAGATGAAGAACAGTTAACCAAATATGCAGAACAGAAAATTGCAGAATTAAAAACACACAACCAAATTTTTACGTAGTTATCCAGTGTTGAGAGAAATCGTTTCTCAACACTGACTAATTCACGGTTCGAGTATCACTGTTTGTGATCTCGAACATTTCACTATAAGGATATGTCTTGAAACTCTTCGATTTACAAATGTACAACCCGGTATTTCCCAATACCATCACCTCGATTAACTCCCAGTCAATCGAAACCCGTGTATCCCAACACGTAACCCAAGCAATCTAACCGATGCTTGAACCAAGCAACTCCCCGTATGCTTGAACCCTTTCCTATCAAAACACTCTTAGCAAATAACGCTCTCTAGTATTTTGATCTCCCGAAAAGTTTTTTTGCCTAATGGCCCAGCAGCCCCTTTTATAGTGTTAAAGAATATGATTGTTGCTCTTTGCACATTCTTTCCATGTTGAGCCGATCCCAAATCTTCCCCATAAATGGTAAGCTTCTTCTTGCGTCCCAATCTTCTTACCTCGCTTATCTTTTCAAATTCTTTCTTTCATTGACTTGTGTTGATTGGAATCTATCGGGAAGCTTCTCCTTCTAGTTTATTTGCTTTCCTTAATCACCAAGAAGATATGCACCCGGCAAGCCCTGCATAAAAGGTAAGTTTCTCTTCCATACACAACATAAGACCTTGTTGCTAATAACACGTTTCTCCCAACAATCTGATCACCGCCGGGCAGAGGGGGTGAGTAATGGTGGTGATAGCGCCGGAGGTGGAGATGGGGAGGACGGCAGAGGGTGATAGAGATGGAAATACGGGGAAACTACAAAGACGACATTATTTCTCTGGTGAAAAGAGGTGGAAGACAGGGAAACGGTAGAAACTGGAAGGAGACCGAACGAGCAAGAGCCTGCGAGAAATTAACAACCCAAATAAACAACAAAAAACAAAAGACAATTGTTGTGGTTGGGGAAATCTAGAAATCAAAAGCAACCGCCGAGATGCAGAAACATTTCTTCCCCGCATAAGTTATTCTGCTAACTGCTAAATCCGTTAGCAGATACTAATAGGGTCAAATTTGATGCCACGTCCGGCCAGGTAAGATGCAATGGAGGAGAGAGGCAGGCTCTGGTGGCTCACTTAAGTGAGCCAGTGATGGGCTTGTGGGTATAAGCCGGCCCATCTTGCGGCTTGCAGGATGTGTCGAAGAAGCAGTTTTGTGGGTTCGCTTCAGTTTGGGCGGGATTTTAGAGAGGAATGGAGAGAGGACAAAAATCGTGGCTCGCTTATCCATGTAATATTTATATATGTTTGTTTGTGGGGATATTTATTTGTTTTTACCCGATATTAATTTGTGTTGTGTTGATATTATTTTGTATCATTGTTGAAATAAACTAGTATTCTTTCTTCGCAAACCAATATCCATCATTCAACTAATGTTTACCAAACCCCAATATAACCCAACCACCCGAAACTGATTATACAAATTTAGAGTTTAGGTTTTAGGGTTCGGGTTTACGATTTAGAGTTTAAGGTTTGGGTTTACGGTTTAGTCTGGGCAATCGACAAACAAATTTTTGCATGAACTGATTTTATATGCGATGGATATTGTGTCTTCCATCAAAACTAAACACGCTATCAAGTCCTAACACATAAGGCTTGCAACCTTAGTTAGGGATGCCCGTCGAGGGCCCATGGGCCGAAGGGCCATGAAATAATAATAGCTTTTATGGTTCAGATTTTAATGATTAGGGTTTTAGTATTAGGGTTTGGTTTTTTTAGGGTTAGGGTTTAGGGTTTATTAGTCTTGTGGTCGTTTGCAATAAATGGATATTAGTTTATGTGATTCGGATATTAGCTTTGGGTTGAATTAATATTAGTTCATGTTTTTTATATTTTTGTGGGACGTTTGGATAAGTCTAATGGGGCACTTTTGGTAACTATTCCGATGTGATCCTTTGTTTATTTAAGAATATGAAATAATAATAGTTTTTTAGGGTTAATGGTTTAGTTATTTGTCTTGTGGTCGTTTGCAATGAATGGATATTAGTTTATGTGGTTCGGATATTAGCTTTGGGTTGAATTGATATTATTTCATGCTTTTGGATATTTGTCTGGGACGTTTGGATATTCTAACGGGCACTTTTGGTAACTATTTCGATGTGATCCTTTGTTTATTTAAGCATCTAGCACTTTTGGTAACTATTCATATTAGTCTACAACTATCATATATTAGTCATTATGTGGTGGATATTACTCTATCATAGCGATAATATCCATTTTGAGATCACATGATATTTTTCTGGGTAGTGTGGATATTCGTTTTAGGGTTTAGGGTTCATTAGTTCATGTTTTTTGATATTTTTTTGGGACGTTTAGATATTCTAATGGGGCACTTTTGATAACTATTTCGATGTGATCCTTTGTTTATTTAAGTATCTAGCACGTTTGGTAACTATTCGGATTAGTGTACAACAATAAGATGTTAGTCTGTGTGTGATGGATATTAGTCTATTATATATGGATAATCTTAATTTTGGGATAACATGATATTTTTCTAAGACGGTGGGATACTAGACTGGGTGGTGTGGATATTCTTCTGGGTAGTGTGGATATTCAATTTAGTTTTAGGGTTTAGGGTTCATTAGTTCATATTTTCGGATATTTTTCTGGGACATTTGGATATTCTAATGGGGCACTTTTGGTAACTATTCCGATATGATCCTTTGTTTATTTAAGCATCTAACACTTTTGGTAACTATTCGAATTAGTGTACAACAATAAGATATTAGTCAGTGTGTGATCGATACTAGTCTGTTGGATTATAGTGTGGATACTTTTTTGGAGCCATCCGATACTATTGTTACGGTTTAGTGTTATGCTCACAAAAAAGGGTTTGGTGTTTGAGTAGATTCGGAGTAGTGATTAGGGTTTTAGTGTTAGAGTTTAGGATTTCTTTTTTAGGGTTAAGGTTTAGTTTTTAGGTTTAGGTGGTCGTCTTGTGGTCGGATATTAAACTGCCTGGTGTTCGTATTTGTTTTGCAATGAATGGATATTAGAAGGGTGTCTATGTGGACGTGTATGACAAGGTTTGTGGCTTTTACATGGATTGGTTTGTGGCGATGTTTCTTGATGTCCTTGTTGAGTTGTTTTTTATTTTCAATTCAGAGTCGGATGATGACGATAACACCAATGAAACTGTATCCATGTTGTGGGGGAGTCGTATCCTTATTTATCTACTTACTAGTATCATAGGTGAAATGAACTATTATTCTGTGTTCAGTATCCATCATTCACCAACCCAGTATCCATGTATTTATTAAACTATGCGGATATTAGTTTAGGACGATCGAATATTTGGTTGTGTTATATCCAAACTCACTTAAGTAACATTGGACGTTACAGAACTAATATGAGAGCATATCCAGACAGCGCAGATTAATATCCATATATTCCATAACTAATATCCAGACCTAACATTATAATATTCCAAAATAAAAAACTCAAATCCATAATAAAAAAGAGTTGTTTTACTGACAAACCGCGATAAAACTAGTATTCAATGCCAATACAACTTGGCAATCCTAGAATCTCAAATCCGAAAAAGCACAACCACATAAGAAATGAGAAAACAATAATTTTGAGCCAATGATGTGCCTCCACCTCTACTTCTCATGGAGGAGCTGGAATCGAACAGCTTTTGGATCTTGTCATCTTGCAAAATTCCTGAAATACATAAAAAGAAATCTTTAGGCATATGCACAGTCCAGACTAATATCCATATAGGACATACAAATATTCATGCATCATGGGCATGCTAAATATCGACATCCAACAAACTGGTATCCCAATCATGTTAAATAATATCTCAGGTTAAATAATATCCCAACCATATTAACGAGCAAAACTCAAAACCCCCAAAACAATATCCACATTCAACAAAATGGTATCCCAGGCATGCTAGATAATATCCCTGATCGACAAACTACCTTATTAACGAGCAGAACTCAGAACCCCCCAAACAATATCCACATTCAACAAACTGGTATCCCAAGCATGCTAAATAATATCACAGGTCAACAAACTACTATATTAACGAGCAAAACTCAGAACCCCCCAAACAATATCCACATTCAATGAACTGATATCCCAAGCATGCTAAATAATATCCCAAGTCAACAAACTAACATAATAACGAGTAAAACTCAGAACCCCCCAAATTGAAAGAATCCCAGATCCCCCAAATCGAATCCCAAGGCTTTGAAGGCGAATCTCAAATCCCCCGACAAGGATCCCAGATCTCTAACAACAATCTCAAATCCAAAAAATGAAGCAAAAAAAAAAAAAACTCAGGTCCAGTTGAATCCATGAAACCCTAAATCAAATAACAAGAATTCAGAATCTCCCAAATCGAATCCCAGATCCCAGCCATAGAAAATCGCAGATCCCCCAAATCGAAAGAAATCCAAATCCCCCAAATCAAAAGAAACCCAGATCCCCCAAATCGAATCCCAAGGCACATAAAGCGAATCTCAAATCCTCCGACAAGAATCCCAGATCCCCAACAACGAATCTCAGATCCAAAAAATGAAGGGAAAAAAACTCAGATCTAGTCGAATCCATGAAACCCTAAATTAATTATACAGAATCCTGAATCTCCCAAATCGAATCCCAGATCCCAGCCATAGAAATCCAGATCCCCCAAATCGAAACCCAAGGCACAGAAAGCGAATCTCGAATCCCCCGATAAGAATCCAAGATCCCCAACAATAAATCTCAGATCTAAAAAACGAAGCAAAAAAAAAAAAACTTAGATCCAATCGAATCTATGAAACCCTAAATAAAATATATGTAATCCAACATTCATATCCATGAATCAAGGAGAGAGAAGGGTAAAACACCTACCTCAAAGATCTGCCTACACCGTCGCATTG